TAGTCTGATAAAACGGCAGAACGTTATAATATGACTATCTCCACAGCGAAAACACAATCCATCGTCATATCTAAAGAACCCATCCGTTGTAAGTTGGCAGTTGATGAGAAGACAAGTTTGACTATCTTGGCGCGCAAATATCTACCAGCGGGAATCTGATTGAGGAAACGAGTCCAAATACAATGAAGGCACCGAGAATCTTACGAGACGTCATCTGGAACAATAAATTAATTTCAACTGAGAGTAAAGTGAGAATCTACAAGACTTGTGTGAGACCAATTCTTACGTATGCATCGAAAACTCGAGCGGGAACATCTAGAACGAAACAACTAATGAGGTGCGCCGAAATGAAAACACTAAGGGATCAAATACGGAGCAGTACCATAAGAGAAGAATTATAGGTGGACGATGTATAGATCACGTAGATGGAATGGAACAAGATAGAATTGCAAAATGGGCTAAAGACCACATACCAAAAAGTAGAAGACTCCCAGGCCGGCCACCCAAAAGGTGGTATAAAAGTTGGACATCAGGATCAACTGAGGCAAGACAGCAGAAATAACAAGGCAAGTCCTATATTAAGAGGAAGAAGATAAATGGCGAACGAGCACTACTGGTTAATGCTCAAAATTAGCTACTGTGCTAATGTTTAGAAAAGGGGACAAGTAAATTCCATCAAATTATAGAGGAATTAATCACTGCTCTAAAACTAACAACAAAAGTAATTACAATCTCAATCTCACATCGTTGCCGGACGAAAAACAGGGATTCAGATCGAGAAGATCTTGCACAGACGCCGTGTTCGTATTAAGACAAATAGTCGCGAGGAAGTTTTTAATTAAGACAAAAGTTATAGCTTTAAGAAAATAGTCGCGAGGAAGTTGCGGGCAATAAAATTGCGGACTGTAAAGCGCCCTTTAAGAACCCTGCGGCATATCAACATTTCCAAGGCTTCCAATTTGTTTATGGCCCTCACCTTTAGGGTCCAGCCTTCAACCCCGTACAGAAGACTGACCAGGCATAGCAGCCCACAAATCTCAATCTAAGGCCAAGGTCAAAGTCGCTACAAGTGAACACTTTTAAATTTTAGAAATTGGGGCTTGCTCAATTCTGCATTCAATTTCTTTGTCTGATGACCATTCTTCACAAAACCAAGTTCCTAGAGACTTAAATTTCTCCACACGTATAATCGCATCAGCCAACATTTTATTTATTTGCTCATTACCTTCTTTTTATGCACTTCTGCGTATCTATTTGTTTTTGCGTTTATTGGCGAAGCGCGTTCCCTGGGAATTTCGTGCGTTATTGCGTCTGTACAGGATAATTTGTCTCCTTCAAGGTGAAATATATAGTTATATTCTGTTCATGACAAATTTCGATAAGTGAAGATTTTTCTTCGAAATTGAGGTGATCAGATCGCAATAGATTGCTGATTATAGCAAGTCTTTCAGAATACGAGTTAACTCAATAACATCATTAATGATGTTATCTCTAGAATTAATATGATTAATTAATTTTTGTTCTGAAGTTTTGTCATGAGAAATCGGTTCTCAGAAAATCTCCAATTGAGAAATTTTTAAATAAGATGAATAAGAAAAATAAGATCTTCAGGCAAATAACGTTAAGTGCGTTTTTTTAGTTTTTGATTACCGCGTTTGTCGCACTGTGAATAAAATAAACCTCACTTTATTGTTTTCTTATCCCGTTTTGTTTGGAAAAGTTTCAAAGTTAGTTTACGTTTGTATTGTTATTAAACAAAAAGTGGCTAAGATGGAAGAAAACATTGAAGCTGCCTTCCTGCGCCGGAATGACCAGGGAGATGTAGATCACGATTTAATAAGAGGCTTAATTTTACACGACATCTTGGACCCTCCTGTTGTTGTAAACCGAAGAGTTATTTTTAATTTAGAAATATAGAGCCCAGAGATTGCCTTATGAACTTTAGGTTTCAGAAGAAACATATTCCAAATATATTAAATAAAAATTCAAAATCAAATAGTTAGGTTATGGGTTAGAAGTTAGAACCTGTCCGTGCGCAGATATTTTTTTCTTAACCGTCCGCACCAGTCCTAGCTTATTGCGCTTGCGCGTATCACTGCCGCGTTGCCGGTTTGATACTTCCATTGCGAACGAAGTTATAACTGACGACATGCTTATGTCATCGCAGTAAAGATTTGGATTCTTGGAGTTTTAATAGTCATGGATCTTGTTTGGATTTTTATTGTTTTCTGCTTTTTAAAATAATGAACAGATATATTTAAATGTTGTCTATGACCTTCACTTTAATTATATACATGCCTGTGAAAAATCTGAAAAATAAGTAGTGACGTGCCGCGAAGTAAAGTTAATTTTTGTTATTCCTTTTTTCCGCCATAAACACCCCTCGCATTCACCCTTAAACTAATGGTGCGCGGTGGCGGTCAGTGCGTTCGGGTTAGAGGGTGGTGCGGGGGTGCGGTCGGGAAAAAGGGATCGTACGGTCAGTCCTGTAAACCAGTCCCGAAGGAAACGCGTACGAAGAC